GCTCACCCACTATGGGTGAGTTTAATTTCAGCCCTTGGTTTCCCTTAGGTTGCTCCATACCTCTGTGTTTACAAGGTTGAACTGAGTCAGAGTCTGAGATGATTATGATGATGATTTAAAAATGATGATGATAACTGAGCACTTACTGTACATAGTACTAAATAATAACTAAAGCACTGTATTAAATAATTTATATATATTACATATATATAAATATTACCAATTACATATATAAATATTACATATATAAGAAAAATTTCACTTTCTCTTTTTAACAACATTATGGATTAGGGACCTGATATGGTTTTCCTGTGTCCCCACGGAAATCTCATCTTGAACTATAATCCATATAATCCCCATATGTCATGGGAGGGAGCTGGTGGGCGGTAATTGAATCATAGGGGCAGTTTTCTCCATGCTCTTCTTGTGATGTGAGTGTGTTCTCACAAGATCTGATGGTTTCATAAACATCTGACGTTTCCCTTCCTGGCATGCATTCACTCTCCTGCTGCCCTGTGAAGAGGTGCTGTCTGCCTATGATTGTAAGTTTCCTGAGGCCCTCCCAGCCATGCAGAACTGTGAATCAATTAAAACTCTTTTCTTTATAAATTTTCCAGTCTTGGGTGTTTGCTTATATCAATATGATAATTGACTAATACAAGACCTTTTCCACATCTTTTAACACTTAAAGAACTTGTATCATAAAAATGTCAGCTGGATTAACCAAAGTTACATACAGATACACACACATGTACAATCAGAAATCCAGGACGAAACAGAGATCAACTGCCATATTTTTTTATTCAGTACATTATTCTATTTAAGACTTTGACATGTAAAGATGTCAATTTTGACTTCATATCCATATCCCAATCTTTGTCAAGTCATATATTTTTTTGGCAGAAGCATGTCTCACTTGACAAGACCTAATTTGGGATTGTTTTTCAGAACTTTAAGCAATCCTGCTGTCCACAGTAAAGGAAATTTTGGCCATCCTGTACCCACCCTTGCCACTTCCTTCTTTCACTGAGCTTGGCAAAAAACAGCCCTTTGTACTTAACCAAGCTTTCATTTTCAGTCACTGTGAGTAAGAATTACAGTGTCCCCACAGCTTTGTATGTGGAAGAGCTCTGAACAGAATTAAAAGTGACCTGCAATTGTGGTTTCAGCCTAAAAGTCTTTAGGGAAACATTGGCCCTGACTTGTTGAACCTCAGTTATGTCCCAGGATACTTTTAGAATCTATTCATATCCTCTGAACTGTGGTTCACAAAATTTTTGTAATATCTACTTGGAATTATTTTACAGATAAATTTAATTTTCCAACACTTAACTCATTTTAGCTTCTCTTTATTCCAAGCTAAATATTAAGTACTGTCTCTCATGGAAAATTTAGAAATGGAGAAGAGAGATCCCAAAAGCCATATACTATGCAAATAACCCGTTATCTAGGACTAACAGTTCCTACTGAATCCTTACTAAAATAGCTATCTGTGTTATCTAATAATAGAAATGTATTGAAGTGCAGTTTGGTCCTTTGCTTTAAGAGAAAAAGTCAGAATCCCAGAGGAATCATTTGGTAGTTTCTTTAGTTGTCTAGAATGTGCTTCCTTGAAGATTGTGTCTCTGGATAAACCTTAAGTGAATAATTAGAGATCTCACAAAACCTCTAGTTTATTGACACTGACTGTGGTTGAGGCAGGATTACTCTTCACATAAGATTTTCTCCAACGTTTTAAAATTTGTGGTCAAAAATACACAACATAAAATTTAACAATTTAACCATTCTAAGTATACAGTTCAGTGACATTAAATATATTCAAATTTTTGTGCAACTTTTCCAACTTTTTATTATTAAAATTTTTTAAGTTTTGGAAAAGTTCAAAGAGCAACCATACAATGAAGGCCAATATACTGACAATGTAGACGTAATAATTGTTAACATTTTTCCAGATTTGCTTCAGTTGTCTTTGGTATTTTGGATTTTGGTGTGTATGTTTATTTGTGTCTATGTTTGTACCATTTCAAAGTAGCTTATAGATTTCACTCTAAAATATTTCATCTTGTATCTCCTGAGTATAAGGACATCCTCCTGCATAACATCACCATTATTCTAGATAAAAAATTTCATAATTATTTTCTACTATCATCTAATGTTTAGCTCATATTTAAATTTTCTTAATCATTTCCAAAATGTATTATAGCTACTTGTGTGAATTATCATTCTATCGATGTCTAAAAATTACATTGCTTGTGTCTTTTAACTGTCTTTTCTTTAAAAAAGCACCTCTCTCCATACTTCCTGGCCAAATAGTCTTTTCTTTGTGACAACATTGACTTTTCTAAAACACAAGGCCAGTTGTCTTTTAGATTGTTTCACATTCTGAGCTTGTCTGATTGTTTCCTTATGGTAATATTTGACTCATTTCTCTTATCTCTGTATTTTCTTTATATGGGAAATAACTCTAAAGGCTTGATTTTGTTCAGTATAAATATTTCTTTTAAACAAAACTTCTCCATTACATGTTGCATCATATCAAGAAGCACCTAATGTCAAGTTGTCCAATTATCAGTGATGCTCAGTTTAACCCTTGATTAAAGAAGTTTTGCTGTATCATTCCTCTAAAAGATATATTTTCCTTTTATAACAAAATTTGTGTAGCACCTAAACTAATATGGACTACCTTTTGTGTATTTATATAAACCTACTTGTTTTTCTATTACTTCTTTAAAATTTACATTTTACAGGAAAATATATTAGTAACAACTTATCCTTGCTATCTAGAGTTATTTTCATTTAATTTTCTAAATTCAAATAAATGGTAGTACTTATGATAACAGAATTCAAGTAGAGTTAAAGCTGTAGAGTGCAGCTTGCAGAAATTGTATATAACTTTCAATGTAGAAATTAGCTATGCACCAAAATTAAATTGTTTATTGTTTAGAACTGAGAACCATTTTTTTCAAGATACTGTCTTATAAGAGATAGTTTGTCAGGTCATGTCACAAATTTTCAAACCCATTATTTCCATGGAAAATTTGATTTTATTTTAAGTGGCAAAAAGAAACTTGAGGGCATTAAATAAATATCTCTACCATCCTACAAGTTCCCTGTCTCAGCTCTTACAATGACCATATCATTTGGGTTAATAAAAGAAATAAGGATGCATCATGATCGTTATTCTTTAGATAACATTCCACACAATAAAATCACTAAGGTAAATGATACTTTAGGGGACACATTTTGTTCTTTGAGGTATCAGGAAATACCAGTTCCTATTCTTGGAGTCCATGTAAATCAATATACGTCAGGAAGCATTTGTGCCGTAGTCCAACATTAATAACTTGGGTAGTTCTAGAAGTCTAGTTATAATTGGAAATCTAAAATCTTTAGATGCTTAAGTGTAAACCCCACAAATGAAGAGATATGTAATTAGCTTGCTTACAAACAGAAGGGTAGATGTAACAAAAATGGGACTAGATCCTAGGTCTCCTAATCCCTTGTCCAATTATTTTTTAACATTCCAGCATTCTGTATATTTATCTATCCTTTGATTGCCTGACCATTAAACGTTAGAATAATTACATGTTAATTTATCTGTAGAAGTGGCAGTATGATGTTAACTTGTTGGTTACATGGATCTAAAAATCTCATCTCAGTGTTTTCATTTGTTTTAACACTCAGCATTTTATGTTTATTTTTTATTTATTTTTTATATATTATTTATAAAGAGTGGGAAGCAGATAAGCCTTCAAGATATGTCATTTTATTTATTGAACATACCTTACAATCTAGTAACATATGCATACATATGTTACTAGACTGTGTGACAAACTTTAGTGAAATGTCTTAGTGGAACTTTTTTAAGTTGTTCAGCTTTTCTAGTCATAACACAGAATTCAACCTTTTGTCCATATCTAATGTTCAAATAAATAAAGCAATAAATGAGTCCAAACATGAAAAACCAAGTCATTCAGAATGCCAACATACCTTGTTATTAGTTGCTATGATTTATCTTCACTGTCATTCATGCAATTGGAAGTCTACAAAGTCAGATCTTTGGGATTTCATTGTTTCAGGATAAACTGAGTACCAAAGTCTTTTTACTGTGATGCATTGTCAAGAAAGTTCAGAAGATGAACATAAAAAAATTAAGAATGGGAAAAATAAAGGAGAAAGGGGCATGAAAATCTATTCAAACAAGAAAGGGAGGAGGAGAGAGAGGATGGAAATGGTTTGAAGTTCAGGAAAACACCTCCAAATTAGGAAATCTTATTGAATGCCTTTTGTATGAATGCCTTTTTATGTATAAATACATAAAATGAGTTCATTTAAATAAGAATTATTGCTTTGGGAGAAGGTGGGGGAATGTAATCAAGACGACAAAGTAGAAAGCCATAGCTATTACTTCTCCAGAAAAAAAATGTCTATATAACAACAATATAAATACCAAAATATTTTAAAGAGAAATTCAAAATGCAGTTAAGTAATAGAATTGGCTGAGTGTGGTGATTCATGTCTCCAACACCAGCACTTTGGTAGGCTGAGGCAGGCAGATCACAAGGTCAGGAGTTCGAGACCAGCGTGGCCAATATAGTGAAACCCTGTCTCTACTAAAAATACAAAAATTACCCGGGCATGGTGGCGAGTGCCTGTAGTCCCAGCTACATGGGAGGCTGAGGCAGGAGAATCACTTGAACCCAAGAGGTAGAGGTTGCAGTAGGCCAAGATTGTGCCACTGAACTCCAGCTTGGGCAACAGAGCAAACTCCATCAAAAAAAGAAAAGAAAAAAACATAGAATCACCCAGAGGATGACACATTGAAAGCAGTTACATTTATATGGATTAACAAAAGGATGTTTTACTTTATCTGAGTCTGTTTCTCCCCCAAACTACTTTAGTTTATCACTGAGAAGCTTGCCTCAGTACATTATTTCTCCTATAATGGGGGAAGTGAGATTGCAGTGTGTGTCTGACCTCCTAGCCTCCTGCCTTTTCAGGGTGCCCTTCTTGAAGCTAGATTCTTCTTGGCATCATACTGACCACTGAACAACCTGTAGATCCCAGTTCTCTAAACAACTAGAAATAAAAGAGAAATCCCTCACAGCCAGCATTGCTATTCAAGATAAGGAAGAGGCACAGAACTGAGGTTGTATCTCTCGGAGGAAAGGAAGAAAGTATGTGATGTAATGGAATATTATTCAGTCTTGAAATAGAAGGAAATACTGTTTTTGCATGGATAATGTGGAGGACATAATGCTAAGTGAAATAAACTAGACACAGGAAGCAAAACACTGTATGGTCTCACTTTATATGTGGAATCGAAAAAAGTCTCACTCATAGAACCAGAAATAGAAGGTTAGTTTACATTCAGGGAGTTCAGGGGCAATGGAAATGGGGAAATACTGGTCATTATATGAATTTTCAGTTATGCAGGATGAATAAATTCTAAAGATTAAATGAATAACAAAGTGAATAGTTATTAGTACTCCATTATATACTTGAAATTTGCTAAGACAGTAGATCTTAAATGTTCTTACCACACACACACACACATACACACACAATAGTAACTATGTCAAATGAGCCTAATGTAATCATTTCACAATGTATACATATAGCAAAACATCACTCTGTAAATCTTAAATATAGGCATTTTTGTCACTTATGCCTCAATAAAACTAGAATAAAAGGATTATATTTATTTGAACCACTTTAAATGCATTTAGGTGTAATACTCTGTGGAATTTGGTTAATTAATCTTCAGTAAATAAACACAAGATTAGAAATGTTGTCGATATTCTTGAAAAGTCGGGTTACTTGTTTTCTGAATATATGCCTTTAAATTTTTTCACAAATATATGCTTTCATTAGTTCAAAAAGAATATATATATATAATTTGAAGGATGCAGAGCTAGATAATGTTTGATGCTTCCGTCAAAGCTATATAGGATCAGTCCATTCAAATGAAGATGAAAATGAGCTATTTAGCTCATCTGGGAAGCAGCTGTGCAGAATTGTGGAAGGCAGTGGTAAGAAAAAAAAACACTATTAGGTAAAGAAAGCAACAGAAAGATGGTGAAAAGGGTAGAGGAATAAGAAATTAGAATTCATTCAAACAAAACTCACTTGGATGAATAAGGAAGAAGTTTTTTTCCTGCCAACTCAGTAAATGTTTAATCTGGAAAAGCATGCTTCCACATCTGTCTTATGTTTAATATTGAAAATATTACTTCTTTAATTTTTTATTTTATTTTTGATGTGAATTTTTGTTTATGAAAAAAATAAAATAAAAATCAGTAGAGAGACATTGTATTTAATATTACAAATGTTAAATACTTGAAATAAAATATTCAAAATACAAACTAGTACATGATCTCTTGCATGTGCTTACCATAGTCTCTAATGAAAACTGAGAACATTAGAAATATTAGATATTTGCACTGTTTGAATTTGAGTCACCTAATATATGAAATAATATTTTAAGAAATCCCAAAATACCCCCAATAGTTATTTGGGACCCATGTAATACACATGATTTTCAAAATGGATACAATTCATTAAAAAGTAATTTAAAAGGAATAAATGAATTCATTTACATTTATTTGTTTGAGGACAGTATTGTATAGGCAGGAATGAACTAGTTCTAAACTGAATTAGTCCTCCATTTTTTGAAGAACTACTCTGAAAGAGCTTTCTGCTTTTCAGATCAAACATACAAATTAACATGTGGCTTCTGTGGGCTTCCTGCCTTTTCTTTTCCAGGCTTGAAAAAGTCAAATCATGTGTAACACAAGTAAATCCACAAAAAGAAGATAAATGGAGTGAATTGGAAATCTAACTACCTAGAAAGAGAAATAGGTGAATTGAGTGCCAATAGAGAAATAGGTGAAATTGAGTGATAATTTTTCTTTGCTTCCATATGTAATAATAAATGTAATGACTTAGATTGTTTTAGTTTATAACACATTTACACAACAAGCAAGCATTATGTCAATTTAATATATTCCTTCACTCACAGATTTTTTTAACCTAGTCATTATAACACAATGACTCAAAATATTATGTGTTATTCTAGAAATGCTATAATAATGTATCTGCATTAAAGTATGATTAATCAAGCATAACTTGCTGCTATAATAATGTATTATATGTGCTATATTTATGTATCTAATTAAGGTGTGATTAATCAATCATTTGAGGGAAGTACAGGAAAAGACTGCTGTAAGAAAATAATTCAGTTTGTCCTTGGAAATGAATAGGAATTCACCCAAGAGAAAAGTGAAGAGCATCACATTACAAATATGAGCAGAGAAGTGAAAAAGTCATGGCAAATTTTAGCAACAGTGAGAATCTGGGACCTATTCAGTAATTGTAAACTTCTGGATATATTCTAGAACCAAGCTGAAATGGAATATAAGACACACAGAAAAAAGAGCCAAAAGGACTACTTAAAAGTTATTTACAGAGTATTTTGTACAAGAGATTAAACATTTCTAAAATTTTGTGTTCTGAAATGTGGTAATTATATATTAGGCATCTACTCTGAGCTATGCTGTGCCTGGCATTGGGAATTCAGCAATTGACAGTAACGGTTAACTGCTCTTGGAATGCTTATATTCTTGTACATAAAACAAAACCCATGAATTATTAGATGTACTGATCAGGATCATTAATTGCAGACAACAGAATCTGTTGAAGCTGGTTTAAGCTTGGAGGGATTTAATATGCATATAATTAGTTCACAACATCACTGGAGGACTGAAGAAACAGACTTTAGGTTTAGCTTTCCTAATAACTATTAAAGCCATGCTGAAGAACTAAGGTGGCAAAAAAGCTGCAGCCTCTACTACAATCAGAAAACTGCATTATCAGGAAGCTCCTACTACTGTGGATAGCTCCAGAAACATGTTTCTGCAAGTCAGGAGCCACAATATCAAGAATCTTCTGCCACACCTGACAACTCTAGAGCTGTGCCTTTTCTACCAAAATCTATTTGAGCCCAGTTGCTCCTTATGTCCTGTGTCTTGCCCCCATAACTAAGTTTCACATTAATTTCCCCTGCGAGAGCTTCTGATTTGTGAAAGCTAAGTTGAAACAGGATATTTTGCTGACCCTTCACAGACCTCACAACAGGGGTGCCTCACTTAGCCCATAGCACTCAACCCCTTGCAGGAGAGTGCATGCAGGTGAGCCAGTGCAGGAGCCGGGGCAAGTGCTTTTGGTCAATGGCAGGAGTGAACTCCTTGTGGGGCCTTGTGACCAGATCCAGGGAGGCCTCTGCCTTGTGCAGATGGCTTAAGTGTTAACAGCTCAGCGAGACCTCTTCTATCCACACTCACAGCTTGAGCTCTTGACTGGTGTCCAAGAAAAATAAGGTCACATGAATGAATTGAAGATGGTAAATGTGGGGCATTTTATTGCCAAAGAAAGTGGCTCTCAGCAGGATGGGGAGTTGAAAAGGGGATGGGCAGGAAGGCAAGCCTCCCCTGAAGTCCTACTGTCCCTGATCAGACTCCTTTTCAAAGCTACACCTTCAAGCTGTTTCTCTGAAGTCAATCTGCTTCCTCTGAAGTCAATCTGCTTCTCTCTAACATCCAACCATAGTCTCTGATGTCCAGCTGCTACTCCTCCCACTGCCAGCTTAGCCTGGGGTTTTTATCGGCACAGGATTTGGGGGTGGGATGGGTGATTTTGGAAAAGGAAACATCTGAGTGGGAAAACAGGAATGTGCATTCTCATTTTGGGCCATGGTATCAGGCTTTTCAGCTTGATACCATGAATTCTGCCCAGAATTTTCCTGTCTCCAGTCACTATCAAAATTACATGGGAAAACCCAGATGTAAGATAATCTGAGAAAAGTAGGTTTTACCTTTCTACCTCTGCAATCCATAAAGGCATACCATAAAGGGATTTGAGTGGGTATGGAGCAAAATAATTTATGGACTATGACAATGATGATGAGTTAGTTAAATAAACAATTTTTAATAAGTAATTTCCAGGAAATAAAAGGAAGCCAATACTGAGAGTAAGCAGGCAGGAGCTACTTTAGACAAGAAAATCAAGAACAGCTTCTCTGAAGAGGTAAAATTTAGGTTGATTCCTACAATATAAGGGCTTGTTATCTTTTCATGCAAAGAATAAGGAAAATATTATTTTAGGCAAATATATCTATCATTCAGTTAAAGAGTAAGATCTCTTTAGTCAAACGGGATTGAACAGTCTCTGCCCCTTACTAGCTTGGTGATCTTGGGCAATCTACTCAAACTCTCTCACACTTATGTATAACATGAGCTTAATAATGACACCAACATGGAATGCTACTGTGAAGATTTTACAAGACAATATATGTAGAGCACTTAAAACAGTCACTGGCACATAGCACACACAATTTAAAAATTTTCTATTATTATTAACATTTCCAACTGTTAAATTTGAGTTATCTATGAGATATGTCTAGATATGAGAGGTCTGTAGATACAAACCTAGAAGCATTTAACATAAAGTTAGTGCTTAAATCTCTGGGAAAGAATGCAACTAACTAAGGTAGAGAACAGATGAGATATAATGTGAAAACAGCCAATTTTATATGTTGGGGAGAGGAAAAGAACCCAAAAAACTAATCTGAGAAGGTAGATACAGTCGCATAAAAGGAAAAACCAAATCGCAATCATGTCATGGGACTCAAGAGAGGAAAAGTCTTTCAGTAACAAAGCAGTGGCCACCTGTTAACTAAAATGAGCGTGAAAGTCAAAGACAGGCCAAGTCAGCTTGAGAAAGGTGCTTTTAGACTAGGAATGTGAGAGATGTCAGTCCTGCTAGGGAATAAGAAAGAATGTAGAAGTTTGACAAGAGCAGACACAGTCTGTACAGTAATATGTAGTGATAAAATATGCAAAACTCTGGCATCAGTCTGCCTGGGTTCAAATCCTGGCTCTGCCTTAGCAGCATTGGGCAAGTTACCTGGGTTATTCTCTCTGCCTCATTTGTCCCACCAGTAAAATTGAGTTAATAATACCTGTCTCAAAGCATTATTGTGAGAACAGAATGAGTTTACAAATGCAAATTAATTGGAAATGTTTAAAAAGAGATGAACTCTAAAAATGCCCATTGTGTCTGGAAATAGGAAAAACATTGGTGACTTTATAAGAACAGCTTCAGTCAAGTGGTGGTGGTTGGATCGGAGAAAAACCCTGTTGTAGTGGGTTGAGAGGTGGCTTGGAGGTGGAAGAGAAATAGCATGAGTAGAAGACTAAAGTTTGACAAGAAAATAAATGAAGAAAAGTAGAAGAAAGTGTGCCTCTGTGTGTGTGTGTGTGTGTGTGTGTGTGTCTGTGACAGTGGAAGGGAACAGTTGTATATAATGGAAGTATGATACGAGAACTAAGAAAGAGATTTGTAAGACAGGATGTATAGGAGCACAAGGAAACTGGAAGGCATTTATATAATTCTATCCTATAGCATTCTAAATAAACTCTTTTTCTCTATTATTCATTTATGTATTTTGTAACTATACAATGACTATAACAGACATAATATTAGCATAGCAATATTCAGTCTGATTGTATATCTTATATTTGAAGACTCTGGGTAAAATATCAGACATTCCAGCATGAGCTAAAGCAAAGCATTTATCAAGAGTAATATCTGATTTATCAGTTTAGTTTCTCAGGAACTGTATTAATATATGCCACATAAATAAATCTGTTGCTAGGATGACTGTATTTTAATATGTTGTAGGTAAAATATGTTCAATAAGAAAATTAAGAAGGGGTTGCTTCTTTCAAATAAAAGAGTGGAAAAGTCCTAGAAGAAAAGGCTACAAGTTGCCATAGTTCAACTTTATATGGCAGTATTCTATGGAAAAAAATACAATTTAGTAGAATTCAATAAATAGTTCTTTTAAATAATAATATTAAAACATGGCTGGGATTTGAAATAAATCAAAAATTTTTTCTAATTCTGGCTTCATCATCTTAAACAAGTTCCTTGATGTCTATGTCCTTTGGTTTCTACATTTTATAAAAATGAATAATAATATATACATTAAAGTTTGTTATTGTGAGGGTCAATACGGTATTGCATAAAAGCTAACCCACAGTAGATGCTTAACATTTTAAAGAACTAAGTGACATTGAGTCATGAAGTCAATTAAAAAGGGCTTGCAATATTTCCTGAACTTTTTGTAATTGGTGATAATTCTTTTTCTTTCTTCCATTGAAACCTCATTTGACAGCATCGGACATTGGGGAGAGATTTCCCCCAAAATAATGTATTCTGATTTCCTTAGTCCTATCCAGTAAACACCATTGCCAAAGTAGTATTTTCGAACTTTGTGATTTAGGCCTTGGTGTGAAGTATATTTATCTGAGAGTTCACTTTTAGTTTTCTTAAACTTAGGTTTCATTTACAAAATTTTTTATTTAAGCAAGGAACAATATAATACTCAATAATGACCTAAAACACCTTTTTGAAAGGGTTTGCACTTGAAAGAGACTTTGTTCTTTGAAACCAACTTTAATAGGGTCCTCACCTTTCCGTTAAGGAGGTGCCGCACTACAAGTTTCAAACTATATGGAAAAACTTAAAATTAGCCCTCTGTTGGTGATCTCATAAAATGGCTTTGACGTTTTGGAATCTTAATTTCTATCTAAACTGTCAGAAAATTTTCTTTGAATATATCAATTAGTTGGCTGTGGGAATTTTCCCTTTCCACATTAATAATTGCCTTTCCGTGTTTCTGAATCAGAAGCAAATTATTCGGGAAAAAGATATGTCCAAACAAGACAAGATTAATTTAAACAGTGAAGACCATTTAGTCCACATTGTCTTGTCAGCCAGCAATTGTCATGTAAACTATCATTTTTAAGAGTGCCACTGTGTGGATTTTGTTTTCAAGTGGTTATTACATTAAAATTACCTCATACTGAGGTTTTTGCACTGAAATATCACAGTTTCAGATTTCATGGTTAATGTCGTGCGTATGATTGTGTGTATGTTTTTAAAGAAAACCCGCATTTTCAATAGTTGATCCTAAATTTCATAAACTGCACTTCTTTACTCTGGTAAAACTGATGTTTTTGTGCTTATTGTGAATTGCCGTAGTTACCTTTGAATGTCAACCTTTATTTAGAAATATAAAACTTTTATCCTTTGTGATATAAATGGTTGAGTGTTTGTACTCAGTATTTCAAATTTCACATGCTAAATTAATGAAAGTAACAAGATTGTAATTTTTTAAAGTCAGTTACTTAAACGCAATAAATATTGGTTGCTCAAATAAAAAAAAGGGGCTTGCAATAAAAAATTATGAAGGTGAGTACAAAAGGAATTTTTACAGCATAACTCAGCACCATAATAAACAATGGTATACAGAGAGCAATGAGAGCAAGGTTGTCTGTTGAGGTCAGACTCTTTCTTGGGGCATGAAACAAGTTGGAGAGGGGTTATGGAGGGAAATCAAAATATACCTAGTACAGTCTAAAACATAATTCAGTTACAGAATCTATTCCTGTAGCATATGACTAGGACATGCACGTGTGTGTGCGCGCGCACACAAACACACACACACATCACATATTAAGCTATTTTAATTTTTGAAATTCATTACTATATCAATAGGCTTGTTTTTCTGGCAGCTCTCAGGAACTGCTAGAAACATCTTTGGGCAGTTCATCCTAGAAGTAGTGTGATTATGCAATGGTTGTCTTTTGAAACATTCTGACTCCTTCTTCGGGTAAAACTGAGCATAAGTTACTTTCTCTCATGTCATCCAAAGTAGCATACATTAGTTTAGAAATATTATTTGTTGTCACTTTGCCACTTTTAAGATGCCTCATGACCCTTAAGAATTGCCACAGGTATATAACAGCCTGTTTAATATACTTGGAATTTTAAAACCAACCACAGTTGGGTCACCATGCCAATGTTTCTTCTTATTACACTCTCTAGAACAACAGATTTCCAGACTACATATTTAATAATTATTAATGTTTTATCCTTTGGCCTAATCATTGCCAGCAATTGGTTCAGTCTCTTCATTTCTTCCAGATATGGATACCTACTTTAGTTCTGAATATGACTAGAGACTTGGTAAGCCTTAAATTTCCAAAGATAATTCTAAATTAAATCTTTTAAAGTTTTAAAATGGTTTTCATTTTTGCTTCTCAAGGATTGCCAACTGAGTTATTCCCCATTGTCTTAAGTCAGCCAACTAACTCTTGGCTTATGCTAAAGTGTGTTTCTCTTTCTCCATCCTCTGATCTTGCTATTTCTAAAATTATACAGTTTTGCATGTATATATTTATATGGCATTTTGAAAAACAGTTCAGCCTTCAAGAGTGGCACTTTCAAATAGCCAAACTGTAATATTTTCCCGCTGGGTCAGCTGCCTCCCTCTTTCTCGTTGAAGGATGTTCTGAAGTCACATTTCTTCTGTGAGAAAAGTTTAAACATTTTTCCTAAAGCAGAAGTGGCAGAATGTACTTTTAATTAAGAGCCCTTTCCTTCTCTGGGTCCAGGATAAGAATAAAGTCTATCCTGACCATCTACATGTTCACAGCAAATCTGTGGCACAGAATGGCTCCCGGTTCTTTATGTCATTATTTTATTCATGCGTATATACACACACACACTTTGGTGACTCCCTAGTTGGGGTTGTAGTATATCATCAGTCTTTGGTAAAGAAGGAAGAGTTGGTTTGCTAACCACATAAGAACTTGTTTCAAGACAAAATCATTTTTTATAAATGCAGACTTGTTGAGGCAACTTTTAAAGACTTAGATAAACTACTTTTATTTTTACCTCCAGTTAGTTTTATAACTGTTCCAATAAGAGAATAAATTATCTTTACAGAGTAAAATATATAGGACTTTACGTTAGTATTTTATCTAGTTTTAGACATATATATATATACACAAAAAATCATAAGTATATTTCAATTAATATTCTGCTTCAAATAAATTGAGATGAAATATTTTAGTATAATATCTTATAAAATGTTACAGTATAACCAAGAAATTATAATTTGCTAGATTCTTAGAAAGCCTCAATCAATGTAAGCCTTTAAAATGGATTTACTGGTAAAGAACTAAATCTTTGGTGAGATCATACTGAAAACTTTCCTACCTTTTTGGGTAGAGAGACTATGGAGCATTATAAAGCATCTTTCATTATGATGACAGTTGCTGCCCTGGGCCACTCTGACCTCAGAAGTTGAATCACATGTTTTCCTGCAAATGAGCCAAGGATAAGAAGCCCTTGGTGTTGTTTCTACTCGTATCATTAGTTGGTCTGAGGAGAATTTTTTCCAGTTGGCTCAAAAAGAGCCTAAAATTCCAGATAAATTGGGGGAGGAAAATGGGAAACTTGTACAACTATTTATTATGAAGAAAAGCAAATTTCTAGTTATTTCTCAATTATATAAAATAAAATTGGAATCTGAAGAAATTTTTAATGAGGTATTATTTTTGTTATAATACTATTTGTTCTAATCATAAAGACAACCTTTATTAAAGACAATTCAGAAAGTCAACAAAATATAAAAAATTAAAGTCACCTATAATTTTACCACCCTAAGATATTACTATGATTATTTGGGTTTTTGTTCTACCAGTATTCCTTTATGTAGGAAGATATATATTAGCAATATCAAATTCATATCAAAATACGTACACTACAGATATAGATAAGTACATGGATGATAATATTGCTTTTTTTTTTCAAAACTTGGATTATTCTTTCAACTGCTGTAAGAAAGTCCCTCAAAGATATATCTGAGAGGTAGCTAGCTATCAGTCTATTCAATGGAACACATTAATTAATTTTAATTAGCTGTAACATATGCAGTAATGTAACATATAGTCTCCAGAGACTTTTATTATTTCCCTCATTTACATAGGGATTCATAGTAAAGAATGAAAGATTTTCTAAACTTCCTCAAGACACATGCACTTAGTAGAAAATCTATCATTGTTTATTTGAGGACACACTTCAATGAGATAAAGTCATTTTGAAATACTTCTCATAATGTTCCTGTGTATGTTACACCCCATTTAGAGCAATAAATATGAAGTGCAATTAACTGGTTATCTAAGGATTTAAATGAAAGGTTTTCCAGTTCTGAGTGTATTATTTTTGGAAATGTTACATGCATAGCCCTCTGCTAGGTATGATATTCAGTGTTTATGGGATTAGTCCTCACACTGAGCCTATTGGAGGGATGCACATTTTTGGTCTGGAAAATACTGGATTAAAGAAATGCTTCCTAAAAATGGTTCCAGAGTCAAATCAGGTTGGGAACAGTTTCAATTCTTCTTAGAAACAGGGAGTGCATATGAGCAAGTTAATGAGTGAGGCTTCCTGCAGTAGAAACACTTACTTCTTCTCTCCACCCCAGGTCCTAGTCAGATTGGCAATTGGGAACCTTTTGCTTGGGAGCTATGAAGAACTCTTTTTAAGGAGGCCTAAATCAGATAATTTCAACTTTTTTTTTAATATCCTACCAAAACCAATGATTTGTTTTCTCCCTATTTTCCTTGAAGGACATTTCCTCTGGGCTTGACTTTCCTCATCCTTAATCGGTAAGATCTGGAGGGACTGATATCAGAGTTAGGGCCTAAAAAAGTAGACAGGGAAAATGTTCAACATGTTTGTTATAGGTCTTAGGTCAACTAGCTTCAAGGAAGACCATCCTTGGTGTTTTCTCATGGTTCAGCCTAGCTGTGAAGAGAATATATTGGGATTTGGGACAAAAGCCTAAAAATTTAAAATAATGTATATTTACATATTGGTGAGAAGAGTGGAACCTTACAATGGTTGGTAAAACTGATATTTCTTTCCTAGGAAACCCTGAAATGTATGTTATAAACAGCAAACATGTGTCCTAAGCCTTTGTCACAGGCAGTAAAATGCAATGCTTAATATGAGAGAGAAAAATATATTGTAATTTAGAATATGAATAAAAAGTGGTTTTACACTATGTGCTAATATCCCTTAAAAGTATGTGTGAGATATTAAATAAATTTTGTGTGAGAAAATTTTGTAATAATAATTCAGATTTTTATAAGTTAAAATAAAATCATGTTTTAAAAAATATAATACTTGTACTACCCAGCCTTTTTAGGCTGAAGGGCCTCACTTACTGAATTTGGAAGAAACTGGAAAAGCTTAGTTAAATTAATAAAATGAATATTATTCTGTTGCATTGAAAAAGCTATGCTTTACTTGACAGTCAAGTATTACCATTTCAACAGTTTGACCATTCCAGTCCATCAAGTTATTGGTCAATATGTTTGAATCTGGACCACTCAGTGACAGAAGACCAGAAACACATCCAGCTATTAGACTACACTTACTAGTGAGTTTGACAGTAAACATTGACTGTCTTCTAATTCCTTTTCCTCAACGGAGACTGCAGGGCTGATTTCCATTTTCTTTTCTAATCATTAAAATATATTGTAATCAGGAAATAGATTTTTTTTAAAAAAAGACTATAATTCTCAAGATTTGCATATGCACAGCAGTAATATTTTTAGTGCTTGTATTAGTCTGTTCTCACACTGCTATACAGAACTGCCCAAGAGAGGGTAATTTATAAAGGAGGGGTATTTAATTGACTCAAAGTTCCACAGGGCTAGGGAGGCCTCAGAAAACTTACAATCTTGGTAGAAGGGGAAGCAAACATGTCCTTCTTCACATGGCAGCAGGAATAAGTGGAAAGCCAAGGGGAAAAGCCACTTATAAAACCACCAGATCTCGTGAGAACTCACTATCATGGAAATAGCATGGGAGTAATGGCACCCATGATTCAATTACCTCCCACTGATATGTGGGATTATGGGAAGAACAATTTAAGATTGGATTTGGGTGGGGCACAGCCAAATCACATCATTCCATCCTTGGCCCCTTCTAAATCTCATGTCCTCACATTTCAAAACACAGTCAGGCCTTTCCAACAGTCCCTCAAAGTCTTAGCACATTCTAACATTAACCAAAATATCCAAGACCAAAGTCTGATTCCACCCTGCGCCCCTTCCAAATCTCATGTTCTCACATTTCAAAACACAATCATGCCTTTCCTACAGTCCATCAAAGTCTGAACACATTCTAGCATTAACCCAAATGTCCACGTTCAAAGTCTCATCTGAGATAAGGCAAGTGCCTTCCACCTATGAGCTTTTAAAACGAAAAACAAGTCAGTTACTTCCTAGATACAATGGGAATTGGATAAATATACATGTTCTAAATGGGAGAAATTAGCGAAAATGAAGGGACTACAGGCCCCATGCAAGTCCAAAATCCAATAGGACAATCACTAAAACATAAAGTTCCAAAATGATCTCTTTTGACTCCATATCTCACACCTAAGTCATGCTGATGCAAAAATAGGCTCCTACAGCCTTAGGCAGGTCCATCCCTCTTGGCAGCTTTCATGGATTAGCACTGTTGCAGGATATAGCCCCCCTCTGGCTGCTCTCCAGGATTAGCACTGAGTGTCTGCAGCTTTTCCAGGTGCATGCTGTAAGCTGCCAGGCCATCTACCATTCTGGGGTCTGGAGGATGGTGGCCCTATTCTCACAGCTTCACTAGGCAGTGCCCTATATATGGGAGGTCCAACCCCACATGTCTCTTCCACACTGGCTTAGCAGAGGTTCCTCATGAGGGCTATGCCCTGAAGCAGTCTTCTGCCTGGACATCCAGGTATTTCCATACATTATCTAAAATCTAGGTGGAGGTCTCCAAACCTCAATTCTTGTTTTCTGCACACCTGCAGGAGACTTTCATGTGGAAGCCTTCAAGAGTTGGGGCTTGCACCTTCTATAGCAATGGCCCAGGCTGTACCTTACCCCCTTTTAGCCATGGCTGAAACTGAATCAGCTGGGACACAGGGCACCATGTTTCAATGCTGCATAGAGCAGGGGACCCTGGGCCTTACCAACAAATCATTTTTTCTTTCTAGTCCTCAAGGCCTATGATAAGAGTTGCTGCTGTGAAAGTCTGTGACATGCCTTGAAGATGTTGTCCGCATTGTCTTGGTAATTAACATTTGGTACTTCATTACTTTTGCAACTGTCTGCAGCTGGCTTGAATTTCTCTCCAAAACATGGGGTCTTCTTCACTATCACGTTGTTAGGCTGCAATTTTTTCAAACTGCCATGCTCTGCTTCCTCTTGAACACTTTGCTACTTAGAAATTTCTTCCACCAGATACCCTAAATTATTTCTCTCAAGTTCAAAGTTTCACAGACCTCTAGGGCAGGGCCAAAGTGCCATCAGTCTCTTTGCTATAGTATAACAAGAGTCACCTTTGCTCCAATTCCTAAAAAGTTGCTCATTTTCATCTGTATCTGAGACCACCTCAGCCTGGACTTTATTTGACATAACACTGTCTGCATTTTGGTCAAAGCCATTCAACAAGTCTCTAGGAAGTTCCAAACATTTCCACATTTTATTATCTTCTTCTGAGCCCTCCAAACTGTTCCAACCTCCGCATGTTACCAAAGTCATTTCCACATTTTTGGCTATCTTTATAGCAGCACCCCACTCTACTGTATAAGTCTGTTCTCAAGCTGCTATAAAGAACTTCTCAAGAGTGGATAATTTATAAAGGAAAGAGGTTTAATTGATTCACAGTTCTGAAGGGTTAAGGAGGCCTCAGGAAACAGTCATGGCAGAATAGGAAGCAAGCATGTCCTTCTTCACATGGCAGCAGGCAGGCGAAGTGCAGACAAAGGGGGAAAAACTTTTATAAAACCATCAAATCTTGTAAGAATTCGTTTACTATCACAAGAGCATCATGGAGGTAACCACCCCCATGATTCAATTACCTCTTATTGGGTCCCTCTTACAACACATGGGGATTATGGGAACTACAAGGTAAGATTTGGATTGGGATACAGCCAAACCATATCTGTTCTTGAAAGAAATTTTCTGACAATATTTTTTCTTATCAATCTCCCTCACCCAGAATGGTATGGAAAAAAGCATTGAGTTCACCAACAGCAACCTGCCAGAAAACTTAAGAGCCTCCATCACATCCCCTTTGTGACATGGAAGAACAGTTCTGTTAGTTTCACATTGGCTTTGCATGCAGAGTTTCACTGTGGAAAAGGGCTTGTCCCTAAGATTTTTCATCATTCTTTTCAACCTGAGATTAACAGGCAAGTGCAAAGTGATTTCAGACTTTGCTCTGGGAACCTAAAGTGTCTTGTTCATAGGCATCTGAATTTTTCAAATCTCATAAATTCTTCTACTGTTATCCCAATGCTTCAAAACATTTTAGCTGGAGAGTCTATAATGCACTATGGTGTTTCAGTTGACATTACATCTGTATACGATAACAACTTGACTTCAGGTAGTACATAAATCCTGTGGGCTACATTTATCAGAGCTGTAAAAATAGCCACAGAAAGTCCATGACACTTAATTTATTTTACTGATTTGATGTCCCATAGAGTTTAAATTTTAAACATACTTTTTTCTTACTTCATTTTGTTCTTCCCTGTTCTTTGTTTAACAGTTTGAGAATATTGATTTAGCATGACATTCCTACCTGATAAAGTAACAATGTTTGGAAAAAATTAGTGGAGAAGTGTTCCAAAATATAATTGCTCACATGCCAGAATTTTACTCTTACATACTCTGATTTGGTGATGTACCTGCCCGTGCACATTAGTGTCACCAGAAAGCATTTCTTTCACTCTGGTTCTCATTACATCTCCAGACCAAGATGTTCTTTAGACGTAAGTATGCAAGCCAAATTGCCTTATTGGTATTGGTGAACCACATCTCAGGTAATACTGCTAAGTTCATTCAATTGTTAATAGATACAAATATTTGCTAAAGCAGAGTACAAGATTGTTAATGACAAAGTGAGTGCAAATACTTATTTCTCTCATCACCACTTTACCATTGTGCTTAATCTATACCTAAAACACAAGTCTGGATTTAATCCAAATGTTTGAAAGTGCATTTTAAATACACACACACCCATGTACACACACACACACACACACACACACACATCCTGCCTTAGTTCTACCTGTTTTGAACTCTCAGACAATGAGAGACACATGTTTACCTTAAATGCTAATGCTAAAATTATGCCTCCAAACCGCTGGAAGTTCTCTAGGATAGGTAAAACTTCATACTATATATACAAGGTTTTGTTAATTCTCACAATTCTCCCCAAGTTTACAAATGCAAAACCTGTAATTACTTACTTAAATAGCTATAGTTATGGTTTTGATTTTGAATTCAGATCTGTATTTCTAATTGCCTTTTTTTTTCTATTACTTAACTACAATACTTAACTAGATTTGGTTCGATAGTCACCAAACTTCACTGAGTGCCAGGGAGGTTCATTATTGTAGTAAAAAGGAGTTCAGTCTTTTCCAGAAGAGTTTATTCAGAGATCATTTACAAGACTTAGTTTCTGGCTTTGGCACTAAATTAAAATTTGTAATTTAATTATAATGACAATGTATATAATAAATTCATAGTTATTCTAAGCAGATATAAGAAATCCATCTATTGTGATTAATAATATACAATTTTGAGTCCCAACAATTTTTAAACTATAAATATGATATGCAATGAATGCCTTATAGTTTAGTGCTCAAAAAAATTCCTGAAATAGGTTTTACTATAAATCTTTCTAAGTTTTTTGAAACTTTTCTTTGAGAAAGTTTTGTTTTAAAATTTTTCATTCTAAGGAAGTTTTCTTCGTAATGACTTCCTTTTATAAACTTTAAATGGGTAAAAATTTATGGTAATTTTTAAACTCTTCTCCTTTACAAATGGAGATATTTCAATATTTCAAAATTATAAATAAGTAATTTTAAAAAGAAGATTTTACTTTTTCCATAAAATATGGAAAGCAGCATGCTTTAAACTATCCAATTTCAATATTTTTCCAAAACAAGCTTGCAACAAAAACATTTTTTAATGGTTAAATTTAGCCAAATAACTAAAATTAAAAAAAAACTATAAATGGAACTCAAACAACTTATAATTAACTGATGATGTTTTTAATAACAGTTGCTTGAATTAACTCATGCTTTAAAAAACCACACATTGAAATTTATATCTAAATTCAATATGCAAGGAAAAGGTTTAGAACAGCTAAATAAATGTTTGATTACAAAAAGTCATCTAAACTTTACCCTAGAATTGACAGTTTATTTGATATAAATTATGAATTTTATGAAAACTAATTATTGTCAACAGAGCTGGTGAGGTTGCAAAAGAAAGGGAACATTTATACACTCTCTATGGAATTTTAAGTTTATTCAACCATTGTGGAAAGGAGTGTGATGATTCCTCAAAATGATAAAAACAGAACTACCATTTGACCCAGCAGCCTCATTATTAGGTATATATGCAAAGGAATATAAATCGTTTTGTCATAAAGACACATACATGCAGCATATGTTCATTGTTCACAATAGCAAAGACATGGAATCAACCTAAATACCTATCAACCTAGACTGAATAAAGAAACTGTGGTACATATACACCATAGAATACTATGCAGCCATAAAAAAACAACAAGAACTTGTCCCTTATGGGAACATGGATGGAGCTGGGGGCCATCATTCCTAACAAACTAATGCAGGAACAGAAAACCAAATACTGTGTGTTCTAACTTATAAATGGAAGCTAAATGATGATGAGCTAAACATGAATACAAAGAGGAGAACAACAGACACTAGGAGTTACCTGAGGGTGGAGGGTGGAAGCAGAAAAAATGACTATTACTAATCTTAGTACCTGAGGAGTGACAAATAATCTGTACAACACAATCTCATGACATTTACCTATATAACAAACCTGCTCATGTACCCTGAACTTAAAATAAAAGTTAAAAAGCAGAAGTTATTGTCATCATTGACTACTCTAAAAGCAGAATAGTCTTAGAAGTATGAACTCAGGGTTTTCTACAAGATTTTTGATTTCCTTTCCAGTTCTCAGTATATTGGAAATGTTTCCAAATTTTTAAAAAAAGCAATTTTGATAATTTAATAAACATTCAACAACATGTTAGCTTACTAAATGTTTTCTAATCTTTGGCTGTCAGTCTCTCAACTCATCACAAACTTACCATTTTATTCTTAAAATAAGTATTTATCTTTTAATGTAAGTAAAGCCTTTACAACTGTGCACTTCAAAGTATTTAAATAAAATAAAACATAAATTGTTTGATCCTTTCTATGTTCCTATTTCCCTGGGTCATTCCATTATTTCAAAGTTTTGCTTGTTTTGCTCAGTTTTTTTTGGGGGGTGGGGACCATCTCATCTTCTTTCCTATATTGTAATGATTATTTTTTTCTACCTTTTTAACTTTTTTTTACTCATGCACTTCTCCTATTCTATTCAGCCAAATTCACACTTGAAGACATTCTGACATAAATATAAATCAGCTTACAAGAATTTTTACATCAAATATACAAGTAAATGTGTTTATTTTTAAAAGAATAAGAATCAAAACCTTTTCTGCTTCAATTTTATTATTAACATAGAATTTTGATAGACTTGGAACCAGATATCCACTCCAAATGGGATTTTTTTTAACCATCATTTTTCCGTATGCTAAAAGAAAATTCAAATTGAGTACATTTATCATTTAAATTGATGTCATGCTTAGATTGTTAAGAACAAAGTCTGGCTGCAATAAGATTCTAGTCAATTCTATAAATCTCATTACGACTTTCATGTCACACTAAGTACACCACATCGACCTCAAAAGCCATACCATATATCAGAGAAAGGAAATCAGAATTGCCTCTGTCAGGATCAGCACAATGCCATAAGAAGAACTTCTTGAAGGGAAAATGATTTATAAAAAAGGGAAAAGGCACTTGTTTTACATTCAAGAAATCTGTGTTCATTTACTTAATCTTTTTTCATACCATGCAAAAAAATGGTTTAATCTTTGACACTGAAACAGACTTGGAACTGAGTTTCAAAAGCTAGATTTGTCTAAAATTGCCTCCATATATATGTACTATAGTCTAAAAGCTCACCCCAGGGCACTAAACCACTATTATTTAATAACTTCTTTATTTTAGAGACAAAATCTTAAGCATTTGATCCTCTAAATAAAACTTTCTACTTATTGAGAAAATTGACTATTTTGTGGGCCTTTCAAGCAGTCTATCAGAGAAAAACAAACAAAATAATAATTACATGCTATTGCCTAATAGAAAGCTAGGTGCAATGAAAAAGAAAAAGAAATGTAAGATACAGTGCCTCTTCAAGATCTTAAATTACCTCCACTGGGAAAGTTAACACTTCGGCTACAGTTATTGAATAGTTAGGCTTCAACTTATTATTACACCCCTGCCTTCCACGCATTACAGCAGGAAGCTAGACAAGGATTCCAGCGGCAGAATGAGTGAGAAAGGTTCATTCTAGTCTGCGTGGCCTAAGAGAGACCTTGGAGAACACCTCACCATATCAATGAGTCATCCATTGAAAAAGCCAGTTGGTGTGGCAGGGCAACAGTGACCTTGGAGGACATAGGCTTGGCCACCCCTGGGCTACTGCCTCCCACATTGTGTGAGGACTGCAAAAGGGGTAGAGTATTACAGACTGAGCAGAGCTGCAGTTGGACCACAGACAAGGGAGAGTTGGCACACTGGTTCACATGCATGGCTCAAGCCCAAAGGTCAGTGGTAGCCCGGAGCCCTGTACCCAGAGTTCTGTGTCTGATATGTCACAATTACCCCAAATCAACTTTCAGGCTAATTCTGGCAGCACTAACTCAAATGACTCCATAAAAGAAATACTGTGCCAGTCAATAGGAGTGATCCACTGTCCAGGCTACGTTCCTGAAATGTGGGCACACTCCCTAGTACCAGGAAGAACCCAGAGGCCTGAGTCTGGAGCTCCCAGAGTCTTGTTGTGGACACTACAGACAGGAGTGAAGAATAGAGGGGAAAACAACACTCTAAAGAGAAGAAAGCAGGACCAGACATAACAGAGGGCTTGGCCCACTCTGATTCCCCACCCAAACAGCACTGCCTACTCCAGTCACTCTTCACCAGTATATACCACTATAAGCACAAATTTTTATAAAGGCACCTCCAAAACAATGGATCCCCTGAAACATAAATCTTGCCTTCCTGGATCTAAGAACATTACTAATGGAAAGAAGGAATTAGAGCAAGAATTTAAAAGCTAGTAAGGTATCAGAGACAAAGAAAATAGTACTAAACAGTGAGTGAGAGAGAAAAGTTGGGAGGAAGCAAGGGAGCCATCCCAACTGAGAAAGAAGAAAATAAATGTGAGAAGGAGGAAAGATACTAACACTTCAAGTCACTACATGAAGATGGGCTGAGGAGTTGTGAATATTCTGGAGGGGTATATGCATTTTGGTTTCAATTTCTGTTTAATATACCTTAATGTACAATACTGCATCCAGTTTGGTGGTGTGAACTATGACATTGTAGCGGCAGCCTCCTAGTTAGGCAAGAGGCTTCACAATTTTGACAGAGACTGAGTGGTTTTGAAAACTATAGGATAAGCCTATAGTTAGAGAAGGCATTTCCCTAATTTGGCAAGAAGTTGCTTTTTTCTTTGATCAGCATATTTTTAAGTAGAATCTACATATAGTGAAATTTCTTTATTTTAAAGTGTCCCATTCATGAGCTTTGGCAAATGTGCACAGTTTTAGACATACCACCACAATCAGAATATAGAATGTTCTCATCACCTCCTGAAGTATATCTTTTGGACCTTTGTATTTGACTCTCAACCCCTACATTGGCCCCATTTATCTACTTTTTTAGTACTATGGAGTGGCTTTTTCTTGAATTTCACTTAACTAGGAATGAACAGTCTGTACAGTCTTTTGGCTATGGCTTCTTTCCCATAGACTAATGCTTTTGACAGTCATCCGTGCTGTCCTATTTATGAAGAGTTTATTCCTTTTGCTTGGTAAGTAGTATTCCATTATATAGATATGCCACAATCTGTTCATTCATTCACCAGTTTACAGACATGTGAATTCTTCATAGTCTGTGGCTAATTTGAATAAAGTGGGTATGAAAACATGAGTCTGTGTAGACAAAGGTTTTTATTTTTCTTGGCTACATATTTATTAGTAGAATTATTGGATATGACAAGTACATGTTTAATGTTATTAGAAACTGCCAGAGACTTTGTTAACATTTTTTATTCTTACCAGTAATATATGAGTTCCTTTTATTCCACATCCTAGTCAACAATGGTATTTTAGTACCCCTTACTTTAGCTATTACAGTGTGTGTGTATCAGATTTCTTAACCTCAGCATTATAGACATTTTGGGCCAGATAATCTTTGTCCTGTGCATTGTAAGATATTTAGCAATATCCCTGACCTCTACCCATGAGATGTCAGTTAGCATCTCGCCAGTTATAACGATCCAAATTGTATTCAGACATTGAAAAAAGTCCCCTGGAGGAAAACGCCTACCCATATTGAGAACCACTAATGTAGTGGTACATCATTGTGTATTTAATTTAAATTTTTTTTTCTTGAGGTGGAGTTTCGCTCT